AATTTGGACTTTTAGCCTACTTTACTGTGAGGAAATAAATTTCTCTTTGTTAAAGCCATCCACTTGTGGTATTTCTGTTATAGCAGCCCTAGATGACTAAGACAAGGACTGTCTTTAAAAATTCCCAAAGCAAAAATTTATTTTGGTGTACCTTCAGTATTGCAAATGGTTAATGCATTCGGCTGCTAACTGAAAGACTGGAGGTTGAAGTCCACCCAGAAGTGCCTAGGGAGAAAGGTTTGGGTGATCTACTCATGAAAAATCAGCCAATGAAAACCCTATGGAGCACATTTCTACTCTAACACACACGGGGTTGTTATAAGCTGGAATCAACTCAACAGCAACTGATCATTTAAAAAATACATCAGGATGGAACAAAAGATTCTGGCTGGGTTTGGTTTGAGGTTGAAATATGACTTGTATGAGGGTGATGCCCCTTACTGCTCAGGCATCTGCAGGCATGAACTGATATGCTTGTGGGCTTTTGATCTTAAGCAGAAAGAGGAAGGAAGACTATTTTTTGTTGTTCAGGGATCCTTTGAGGATGAGGAAGAAGAGAAAGGAGAACAACATGTCTTCCGTTCTCTCACCGGCCAAAACAAGTCATCCAGTTAATTCCGACTCATGGTGACCCCATGTGTGTCAGAGTAGAATCATGCTCCATAGGGTTTTCAATGGCTGATTTTTCCAAAGGAGGTCACCAGGCCTTTCTTCTGAGGTGTCTCTGGGTGGATCTGAACCTCCAACCTTTCAGTCAGCAGCTGAGTGTGTTAACTGTTTGCATCACCCCGGAACTCCATTCTCTCACGGGCTTGTTAGAATTCCTAATAGAGAGAGGTGGAGCCAGAGGGCAAAAAAGTAGGGTTCATGAAACCTTGGTGAAGGTGTGGGCTTTGGGGCCCAGATAACCAACTGGAACACAGGGATGGTGAGACAGGGACAGCTTCCCTTACCACCCCACCATGCCCCAGAGAGCAGGACACCTTTGGCACCCTGAAGCTCAGGGTGGGCAACAGGGAGGATGGCTATGCCCAGCGGAGCAGTAGTCCATGGGAAGGGGGACCCGCAGTAAAGGCAGAGAAGCCTAGATGGGGGTTAAATTGGAAAACAAGGAGATGCAGTTCTGAGCAAGCAAGAAGAATCTCAGCCCTGGGGAAGATATTTCATGCGTGTGTTTGTGTAGAGGGAAAGGGAAGAGCTGCGATACTGCTTATACAGAAGTGGGTAAAGAGCCTCAGGCTTTGGGCATATATTAATGTCACTCCATCTGAGCTCACGGGCTTTTGAACTCCAGGCTCGGCTCTTCCTATATAGACTTTTGAGGGCAAAGTGTGTATTTATTATGAAATAAAGCAAAATACTGGTGAGTTGCATTTCAAAAGAAAATATTGGTGATCACTGGAATGGAAATAAAAATATATGTATGTGTGTGTATACCTATGTCCATCCATCTGTCCATCTTTATCCATCCATCCATCCATCCATCCATCTAATTATCTATCTAATCTTCTTGGCTATAACTCTTCCAACTTGAGGAAGAAACTTTAGAACTCAAGTGTGTGTACAAGGAAGGAGATCAGAGAAGGTCAATGTGGGTGCTAGTTCTTCTCCAGGTCATAGATGCTACATCTTTAGAGAAAGGTCTTCTACCGGGAGAACAAGTCAGTTGGCAACTTTTCAAAATATGGAATGGAATAGAGGCTGGTATCTTTGCCTTTTGGGGGTAAAACACCTGTGGTAGGTGGAGTTTAATGCAAGGATCAGGCTGGTGGTTTGTCTTCTTCAAGAAGCTTTCTGAATACTTCCGCTGCACTGCATTAGTGCCTTCTTGTTCATATGCTGCTTTGCAATGGTTTTCTGGATCTTTCCCAGCCACAGATTTTCTCTGAAAATCGTCTGTTCCTTGAGGCTCAAGTTATAGACTTATTGACTCTCAGGGTCAGGAGGGACCTACCTTAAAGGTCATTTAGTTCAACCTCTTACCTGATGCTGGAGTACCCTTTCTGGGGCCCCATGCCACCAAGTGGCCTCCATTGTTTGAGCACTCCACTGTCTACTTATAATGCCTAGGACGGGCTTGCCTTTGGCAGGTACTTAGGAGTAATAGCTACTAATAGTAATAGCTAGCATTTACCCAGTGACTTCTGTGTGCATTTACATTTGAACATTCTCACTTCACAAACGAGGAAGCTAAGTCTCAGAGAGGTGACTGTGACTTGCCCAGGGTCACACAACTAGAAAGTGTTGGAGCTGGGATTTGAACATAGATCTGCCTGGATTCTTCCAGATCCTTCTCGACTTGCTAAAGGAATCAAGAAAAGACCCCAAACTCAACTCCCTTTTTTCAGGTTCTCACGTTATGGTCAGAAGTCGGGATTTTGGTTTGCATGCTCTTGCTCATTTGGCAAAGCGGTGGAGATAGTCTGGTACTCACACGCTCTCCAGGGTACTCACATCAAGTGGTCACACACATCCTCTTTGATATTGCTCTCCTTCGGAGGTGCCGCAGCCGGGTCTGGCTGTATTTCCTCCTTTTGAAATGTGCCAGACAGACCTGCAAGTGTTAATATGGTCCTTAGACAACCGATGCTGCCCTTCCCTTCGCTTATAAACACACTTGTGTTTTTCTCAACTTATAAATGCACCCTATACCCTATACCCTTCACCATGAGACCCACCAGGCGTTCTGTACCATAGGCTGGGGACTCTCCCCATGCAGGAGGTCATGCAATCTTTCCAGCTACTCTATGAAGCAGGGAGTGTTAACTCTGTTTACAGACAGGGAAACAAGCGCAGGAGTGATGGAACCTTCTGGGGATCACTCAGCTAAGCTGGTGAGAGGCGAAGCCAGGGTTCAGATGCAGCTCCCTCTGCCCCACAGCCCTTGCCTGAATGACTGAGTTACATGCCTGCCCTTCTTTCTCCTTTCGGTCCAGACAGGAGTCTTGAAAGAACACTCTATGTCCAGTTTTTTCCTGTCCCCACCTCCTGCTCACTCGTGAGCCCACTGTCTTCTGGTTTCTATCCTCACCACTCAGTCACTTGTTCATTCATTTATTCATTCAACAAACACAGAACGCTTGCTTTATGGCAGGCACACGTGTTAGGTGACAAAGTGCCCTTCAGGTCCCAGCTTAAACACCCTCCCTCTGACCTGGACCCTGGGTTAGGACACTGAGAATGCCTTTGTCATGGTGCCTTGCTCATCCTGTTATCACACAGGTCACCTGGCAGGGCAATAATTTAGTTAACTGCACGAACCATGCCTGGCTTAGCCATCACTGAAGCCTCAGTGGCTAGCATGAGCTTGGAACATAATAGATGCTCGACTGAAAGTGTGGAATGAATGAATGAATGAATGAATGAATGCACAAGGTAATTTCTGACAGCTCATCAACTGGGCTCAAGACCAGGGTTGCAGTGCTCAACCGGGGGTGAGTTTGCTCCCCGGGGACATTTGATAATATCTGGAGACATTTTTTGATTGCCACAATTAGCAGGCGGTAACTGGCATCTAGTAGGTAGAGGCCAAGGAGGCTGCTAAACATTCTATAGCGCACAGGACAGTCCCACAATAAAGAATAACCTGGACCAAAATGTCAATAGTGCTGAGGACACGAGGGCCTCTACTTCAAGAACTCTTTTCTAAGAGCTCAGTATCTTTGCAGTAAGATGCACTACCTTGGTCATTGAGGGCTTGTAAGTGCTCGCACCCCTGAGTTCTTTTGTCAGCTCCTTTGAGTATATTTTTTAAGATACAAATCCTGGCTGGGTATGGAGGTGCATGAGTCAAAGTTGCAAATTGCTGATGGCGGAGAGGAGCCTTTGAAAGCCCCCGGCAAGGGAGGTTTTCAAGTGGAAAAGATGACCCCACTCCACGCCACTCTCAGCATTCCTAGGAGCCCTGGCAGCCTACACATCTCCATGGCTCAATGGATCGGCACAAAGCACATCTCGAGTCATTACTTCTGTTTAACCTGGGCCTGGGAGGGCTTCTAACACTGTTGTGTAACAAGAAGGAAAGGAGGCCTCCTTTTAAATGAGGCGGGGCCTTTTTCTTATCCACCGGCCTATTGGGACCCACAGGACAATGAGCACCTATCCCACTAAGATCTCTTCGGGCATACCTGGGTCATTGTCCTTCAAAGCCGCAATCTCGCCTTCTATTTTTTTATGGTGTTGTGTCACTTTTTGGAGTCTTTCCTCGAGACTCACAATCGTCTGGGAGTGCTGTTTGATTTGCTCCTTGTATTCCGCAATTTCCTTCTCAAATCCGTGTTTCTGTGACTCCCTCTCATCCTGGAGGGCCTTTATCGTCTGCTGTTGCAGCAATATTCGCTCATCCATCATGATCTGGGAAAACAGGGAAACGGATTAACGTGATCTTGGGAACCGGATGCGATGACAATCACAATACAATAATATACCCTCTTCTGCACACACATAGGATTTTCATTTAGAAGGAATAAAACCAGAATGCTCCTTAGAAGCGAAGATGGTGAGACTTTGACTCACTTACTTTGGACACGTCATCAGAAACAATCAATTGCTAGAAAAGGACATCGTGTTTGGTAAAGTAGAGCGTCAGCAAAAATGAGGGAAACCCTCAATGAGATGGGTTGACAAAATAGCTTCAACAATCGACTCAAACATATCAAAGATCATGAAGATGGTGCAGGACTGGGCAACGTTTTGTTCTGTTATACACAAGGTCACCATGAGTCGGAGCTAACTGGGTGGCATCTAACAAGTTCTGGTCTCCCACACAGGTGCTAAACTCATTCCCACCTCAGGGCTTTTGTGTGAGCTATTCCCTCTGCCTGGCATGCTTTCTCCTAGATCTTCGCTCGGTTTCATTCTTTAGGTCTCAGATCCAGCGTCACTTCCTCAGAGGCCCTCCCTACACCCTGTCTAAAGGAGAAGCCTGAGACACCTTCTATTCCATCATCTTGTTTTGTCTCCCCTGAGGTGCTTATCACCATCTGAAATTATTCAGTTTCTTTATTTCTCACACCCATTAGAACATAAGCTCCACGAGAGCAGAAACTGATCTTTTCTCACTTACCGCTATACCCCCAACATCTAGATTAGTGCCTCAGAGCCTCGGTCTAGATGCTCAGTGAACAATTGTTGAATTCATGAATGAACAATGGAATAAGACAAAACCAATGAATCTGTATTTCTTAAAAAGAAAAATTACCAATGAGTCTCAACAGTGAAATCTCCTCAGACCCTTTCCCATGACCACCCTCTCCTTTCTGAGGCTCTCCTTGGCGTTTCCTTCCCAGCACTCATCCTGGCTGCCCTCCTGCTGCTCTGACAGCGCCTTCTCTGGCTCCCTTGATGTCACACTCCCGTCCCAATTTCTCGTAGATGTGTTGGCGCTCAGTCTCCGATCTTCTCCAGATAAGTAAATTCTTCGCCCGAGAGCTCTCACATGCCCATGGTTTTACCAATTGCGCCCACAGCGTTGTTGCCCAATTTAGACTTGTCTTGCTTTCTCTCTCAAACCTATTGTACCTCCAAAAGTTTTGGGAGTTTTGAACTTCGATACCCTACTCTTACCTGGTCTGAACTCATCTTCTCCAAAAAAGAACCCCTACCCCGACCTCCATAGATCCACCCATATTTCCATCTATAATTCCACCCATATTTCCATCCGGATGCCCTCATCTCCCTGGTGCCCTGGCTTGAAGCCTGCCAGCCTCCTTTGGTGCCTGCCTCTCCTTGGTACTCACGTCCTGTGAGTCAGTTATCAAGTCCTCCCATTTCTCTTGCAATTATCTCTACAGAGAGTCCCTCCTTTATACTCCTCTGCCCCTCTAAGAGTCCAAGACCTGATGTTTCCAGACCGCAGCAATGGACATCATGTGCCACACCCCAAGGCAGTCTTTCCAACTCTAGTCCCTCTCTCTCATCTACTTTGTGCACTTCTGGTATCTTAATCTCCCTTATCTCCTCACCCACAAACCTGCAGTTTGAATGTATGAATGACAGGATGAATGAAATATCAAGCCCTGATTGTGGAAGGCTTTGAATGCTGAGCTGAAGTTTGAAAATATTATCTTAAAGCCTGTAGACCTGCATTTGGGGAACTGTGGGCTTCCTGCCTATACCTTGTCTATAGTCACTGATCACTAAATTTTGGGGCTCCTCCGTCCTTCCCCCTGATCTTGTGAGGACCGTGCATTACAACACCTTAGAACACCCTGGGGAGAGGGCACTTCTGTTGGTCTTTCATGCCATCCAGTGCTTCTCAAGCAGGGGGCGATTTTGTTCCCCACGGGACATTTGGCAATGTCTGGAGACATTTTTGGTTGTTATAACTGGGGGCTGAGAGTGCCAATGGCATTTAGTGGATAGAGGCCAGGGGTGCTGTTAACCATCCTGCCGTGCACAGGAGTGCCCCCTACAACAAACACTTGTCCGGCCAGAATGTCAACAGTGCCAAGGTGGAGAAACCCTGGTCTAAACCAAGCATTCTCATGATATCATAATCTTGCATCAAGGAAAAACTTTTCCAGTCCCAGGAAGACACCACTTACCATTTTTGTCTTGGTGGTTTCCAGTTCAGCCAATGTCTCATTTACTTTGATTGTGAGGCTTTCTACTTTCAGACTTTCAGCCACCTTTGTTTTCTGAGTTTCTTCTACCATGGCCAGCGCATCATTTAACTTATTATTTAAAACATCCTCTTTTTGTACTTTCAATTCTATTTCCTAAACAGACAACAAACACCAAAACTAGCAGAAACACAGGGATAAACATTTACCCCATCCCCTCCCTTTTGGAGTGGAGGTGAGTTCTATGCCGTTATTATGCTGAGGATCCTATTTAAATGCAAAGTCCATGCCTTTTCTGGAAGGTTCCAACGATAATAGAACGCTTCTTTATATTCAGCTGAAATCTGTCTGCTTGTGATTTCTGGGCTCTGAGCTCAGTTCTGTCACCTCCATGAGTAAGTTTTATATCTTTTTTTATGAGACAGCCCTTTAAATATTTGAGGAGGGCTGTCATGTCTCTCACTAAATCTATTTTCCAGGATGCATGTGCTGAGTTCCCTCAGCCCTTCATCATGAGATTTGCCTTCAGGATACTCCTTCACCTTTCTCTGTAGCTTCAGCACCAAGATCACCTCCCTCTCCAGCCCACTGGACTCCAATGGCCTTGTCTTTGCATATCTTACTCTTCCTCCTGGAACTCACTCTTCCAACTTTTGACTGTCAAAATTCTACCTCCGCTCCTTGACTCCATCAAGGAGTTGGGGCTTCAGGCAGGCACTGGGCAGGGGGCTTTACGAACATTATTTAACCCAATTTAAAATATATTATTGGCATGAGGGAACTGGGCACTCTCAGACTCTGTTGCTGGCAGTGTAAATTGGTATGACCTTTATGGAGGATCATTTTGGAGCGTGTATCATGACTCTAAGGGGGCAGTGGTGGTTTAGTGCTAGAATTCTCACCTTCATGTGGGAGACCCGGGTTCAATTCCTGGCCAATGCACCTCATGCACTGCCACCACCCATCTGTTAGTGGAGGCTTGTGTGTTGCTACGATGCTGGACAGGTTTCAGTGGAGTTTACAGACTCAGACAGACTAGGAAGAAAGGCCTTGTGAACTGCTTTTCAGAATCAGTCAGTGAAAACCTTATGAATCACCCTATTTCCCATGGGTTTCACCACAAACACGGAACTGCTCACTACAGATTAGTAAGTATGCACAAGTAAGGCCGTGCTTACCTTGCGTATGGGTAATCCACCTCTGGTTGGGGGCCAACTCAACAGAAGCTAACAACAACAATCATGAGCCTTGAACATATGACGTGGGTACCCTATGCCTCAGCAATTCCATTCCGAGGGATTTATCCTGAGGACATAACCAAGCATGTGCACCAAGACTGGTGCATAAGGTTGTTCAGCCAAGCATTTTCTATAATAGTGAAAAGTTGGAAATAGCCCTGGTGCCTGATCATAGGGGAGGTGTAAAACGAATGGGGGTCCATTCAACATAGGGCAAACCCAAGCCATCCTTAAATGACAGGTCATGGAATAATGTTCAATGACATGGGGACATTTTTATAACATACGAAGTTTAAAACATAGCTTCCAAAGCACTGTGTTCACTATAAAAGCATAAATCAGTAACTTTGTAACAAATCAATATTTATCAACGTCTTTAATAATGATCAGGAGCCCTGGTGGTGTAGTGGTTAAGAGTTCAGCTGCTGACCAAAAGGTCGGCAGTTCGAATCCACCAGGCGCTCCTTGGAAATCGTATGGGGCAGTTTTACTCTGTCCTACAGGGTCACTGTGAATCCGAATCAACTTGATGGCAACGTGGTTTTTAATAACGATCAGGAGCCCTGGTGGTACAGTGGTTAAAGTGCTTGGCTACTAACTGAAAGGTTGGCAGTTTGAACCCATCAGTCGCTCCGAGGGAGAAAGATGTGGCAGTCTGCTTTCCTAAAGATTTACAGCTTTGGAAACCCTATAGGGTAGTTCTACTCTGTTCTATACAGTCACTATGAGTTGGAATCGACTCAATGGCAGTGGGTTTGGTTTGGAGTAGGGTTATAATAATGATCAACATACAGACGTCTTGGAAAGAATCACATCAAAATGTCAATCATGGTAACTGCTCAGTGGAATCACGGGTAGTTGTTATTTTTTCTGACTGGTCTTCTGTATTTTTCAAATTCTCTACAATAAACCAGTGTTCCTTTTATAACAAATAATAATTTGAAAACTGATGATTTATGAAAAAATAAAATAATTGTTTTCATCCTGCTCTTGCTGAAGGCCACACCTGGGGATCCCTTCATCCTCTTTGTACCTTCCTTGAACTCCGTCTGATTCTTTTTCATGGTCTTAACATCACTATTAGTGTGGAGAAATTCTAATGAGGTCCATGTGCAGCCTGATCTAAGGAGATGCTCATTAGTGACACTGGCAGGCATCCCACAGAGCAGCCTGTCACATATACTTCACAGTGAGATGTCCCAAGATTCCCGGAGAATCCACAGCAAACTGACATTCTTTCTTTGATGGGCTGTGCAGCTGCCCAAGGACAGAGCTTGTTGCCTGGCATTTTTGCTCCTTGCCAGCTTCTCAGCTGCATATCTACAGACAGGAGACCAAAGTTCATTGGTCCCACCCGTCTCAAATTATTTTTCTTCCCCTGACCTCTCTCCTCTTTCTCTTATAAGAATCCTACTTTTGCCTGTGTAGATAAAATCAAGTTTTTGATTGTTCTTCTGTATATCTAAGAAAAATAGCATGCAAATAAGCAACTCCACGTCTGAGTTGTTCTTTGAGCTTGCATTTCTTTGGTCTGTCCAGGTGAGTCCCTGGGGTGGAGTCCCGCTCCTTATCTGGTGTGATGCTGCTAGTCTACCTTGACGGTTGCTGCGAGACCCCGCCTTCTGATTATCACTGTTGTTCCTCGGTATTGTTGAGGACGTTGTTCCTTGCATTACAGAGTCCTTTATATGACTCGGGAAAGATTGTCTCTGGTCCAATGTCCACGAGCAATTGGTCCATTTTTATCTAGTGAGTTGCATAATCAACTGGGGTTTCCTTCTCACTGTAACTGCTAGAGTAAAACTTATGATTCATTCATTGATTTCATGATACACTTTTTTTTTTTTTTTGCTTTCATCTCATTCCTGATCCACGTTATGTCCCAGCTAATCTGCCTTTTAAATTTTAGTTTCTCCTTTTCTCCTAAGCCTAACTGATGTACTTCCTGGAAGATCCATGGTAAATCACTCAGGTTAACCAGGCTGTATGGAACTAGATTGCTCCTCTTTGGCTCCCTTGCAGCCTGCAGTGTCATGCCCTGTATATAGGAAGCCCTCCCTAAATATGTTAGCCCCAAGCTGACAAGTCTTGCCTCACGTCCTCGAAATTCAGGTCTGCCTTCTCTGGATACAGTCCAGTTTGTCCAGGCCCAGGACTGATACATAATCCAGCTGTCGTTTCCTGACACTACTTTTCCCAGAGCAGTGGTTTTCAGAGTGCACCAGCATCACTTGGACTGTTCTTGTTAGCTGCCATGGAGGTGGCTCTGACTCATGGTGACCCCATGTACAACAGAATGAAATGTTGCCCGGTCCTGCGCCATCTTCATGATCATTGATACGCTTGAGTCCACTGTTGTGGCCACTGTGTATGTTGAGTGTCTTCCAACCTAGGGGGCTCATCTTCCAGCGCCGTATCAGACAATATTCTTCTTCTTTTTTTTTTTTTTTATTGTGCATTAGGTGAAAGTTTACAGAGCAGATTTGTTTCCTATTCAACAGTTTGTACATAAAGTGTTTCATGACTTTGGTTTCATTCCCCACAATGTGTCAGCACTCTCCCCATTTCTGCCCTGGGTTCCTTGTTTCCTTTTATCATGAATTTCTACCCCTTCCTGCCTTTTCATCTTTGCTTTCGGGCAGATAATGTCCTTTGGATTTCGTATAATTGATTGTTCTAAGGAGTACGCTCCTCTCGGGTGTTATTGTTTATCTTATGGGCTTGTTTATTGTTTGGCTGGGAGGCAGTCTCTGGGAATGGCTTCAGTTCCAGGATCAGACAATATTCTGTTGTGATCCATAGGGTTTTCATTGGCTAATTTTCGGAAGTAGATGGCCAGGTCTTTCTTCCTAGTCTATCTTAATCTGTCAGTTTGTCATATTGTGATGGCTTGTATGTCGCTACAATGCTGGAAGCTGTGCCATCAGTATTTCAAATACCAGCAGGGTCACCTGTGGTGGACAAATTTTAGCAGAGCTTCCAGACTAAGACAGAGTCACTTGGACTATTTGTTAAAAATGTAGATTCCTGAGTTCACCCTCCACCCAGTGAGTCAGAATCTCTGGGGGTGAGACCCAAGAAACAGGCATTTAAAATAAACTCCCCAGCAATTATAACATATGACAGTATTTGGGAAACTTTCTCTGAAGAAAATGTTGCAAGACTGACGCGAATAAAATAAAGGAACTTTTTAGACACAACTATTCTTAAAAAGTCTTCCAGCTCATATTTACCTGTACTGAAATTTAACCCATTATTGTCAGGCTGTATGTTTGTCACCTGTTTTGGCTGAGATACTGGATTGCGTGTGTGTGTATCTGTGTGTGTGTGTCTGTGTGGTGTACCTTGCACTGTTGGGACCCCGGAAGAGTGAATTATGTTCTATTGTTTACAAGACACCTAGGACAAGATCACATGCAATAATAACTTCTACTCCTACCGCATCTACTACTCCCAGTAATAGTAGGCAATGCGTTTTGATGATGAAGGGGATGATAATGATGCTAACAAGTTCTGGGGGGAAAACTGACACCAAAGTGCCCAGAAATTCAGGCAGTCATACTCGACATCTCCTCTCCCCACCACCAACCCCAGGCATCTGAGCCCACACAAAGCTGAAGCATGATAGAGAGAGAGGTGTGAAGAGTGTGGTCAGATAGTCTTAGGTTCGAATCCTGCTCTTCCACTTCCTGGCTGTGAGCTCTTAATAACAATACAAGCTGCCAACACTCGGCATTCACTAAGTGTCAGGTACTTTGCTACATGTTCTCATGTGTATACTAGCAGTCAAGTCTCACAACTCAATGAGGTCAATCTGTTAGTATTATCCAAGATACAGAGATGGTAAGTACCTTGCCTAATGTCCCACAGCCAGAGAGTGGTTGAACCAGGATTTGAACCCAGGCCACCTGGCTCCAGAGCCCTGCTCTTAACCACATTGGGCTCTTCCGCGTCTATTCCCTCTTGGAGACTCGTACCTCTTTCTGCTTGGTTAAGTGGTTCTCCAGATCTTGCACCTTTTTCTTTTCCTTTTCTATGGCCTCTTTTGCTTTGCTTTTCTCGTAGGCAATGCTGGTCTCTGCAATCTGGAAGTCAGTGACAAGTGGTTTGAGGGCGTGGGCATGGAAAAGTAAGGAAAAGGACACCACAAAGGGAAGCCAGGATTAGTAAGCATTGAAACCAGTGAGTCAGGGTTTGGGAGCAAGAGCATAAGGAACAGGATGCCCATTCGAGAGAGGTGAGATTCCCGGCATGCTCTCCTTGGTGAACTCAGCAGTCATGGCTTGGTTAGTCATGTGCATAGAAGTGAGAGTTATTCATCATTCCGGATTTCTGGGCTGGTGTTCAGGAAGTGACTTGCTGGTGAGTGTTGAGGTCAAGCTGTTCAGCTCTGAGCCTCTGACTGAGCCGGCACGTGTCGGCACCCATGTGACCTTTGCTGGGAAGCACCTGGCTCCTTGGGAGGTGGAGCCTGAAAGCCAAAGCTGGGGAGATACCTCCTGTCCAGCAGGCCTTGTACCTGAGACCTCATAGAAGGACTCAGATCTCCCCAGTCTACAAAAGGCTTGGGTTTCAAAAAGTCATGCTCAGGACAGTTTGGAACTGGGAAAACATACCCCATAGGCCTGGTGACAGGGAGCGGGTTGGAGGTCCTGATTTGCCCTCCAAAGTCTGGGGAGGTAAACGGCCACAGTGGGGTCGAAAAATTTTATCTGCAGCTCTTGAAACACTTGCAATTATACTCCCATACAAAATTAAAGTTCACAAGAAAAATATTTTTAAAATATGTATATTAGTGGTGATGGTCACACAATACAATAAATGTAATTGGTGTCACTGAATTGTACATGTAAACAATGCTGAACTGGCAAATGTCATGTTATATATATATTTTACAACACCAACAAAAATATATATATTGTATAGACAAGAGGCTGGAGGGATATGTACCAAAATGTGAATCACGGTTATTTTGGGGGAGTTGGGATTATAGCAATTTCTATTCTGTTCTTTTCACTGGTCTGTAACTTCTAGATTTTCTTTAATGAACATGCATCGTTGCCCAAAAAACCAAACCAAACCAAAACAAAAAACATTACCCTTTTTCTTTTTTTTTTTTTTAAAGAACTGCTGCTTTTTTATGAGTGCTAAAGTTGGGAGGTGGGGAGGTTTTAATGAAGGGGCTGGGTGAAACTTTTGGGATGCGTGTGGCCCTGGAGAAAGGAGTATGTTTCCAACAGCCCTAATGTTTTATATAACATCCTTGGCCCTCTGCCCGCCTCACCCTGCTCTGCACACCGTTCTCTCCACCCCACGTGCACTCTGCCCTCACCTGCATATCTGGGCATATGCCACAGCTAAGCCTTTGCTTGAGACTGCCCAGCCCCGACCCTGCCAGTCTAGGTGCTAACTGCCATCAGAGAATCCTCCAATCCCCTCCTTCTCACGGTCCCTTCTCATACTCCACAGTGGGGAGTGGCCCTTCCCTTCCCTTCTCATGCTGCTTAGAATCTTACAAATGAACACAATAATGATAATAATGACTGCTCTATAAAGGTTTGCTATGTGAGGACCCTGTACTGTGTATTGAATGCACGGGCACCTCTAATCTGCAGCCCCCCAGATAGGGTTTGTACGGTTATTCCCATTTTACAGATGAGGAAGCAGAAGCCAGAACTGAAGCAGTGAGAGGTCAAGTAACATCCCAAGGTCACACCGCTAGGAAGTGCTCATACATGCCAGTGTCCCTGCCTAACCACTATGGACTCAGGCTTCTGGACCCTGACTTACCTGTCCTCCTGACTCAAACCCCACCCTACCTGGAAGCAGGAGACGCGTTTATATATTTATACCTTGAAAAGCACAGAGCCTGCCACGCTACCTGGCAGAAACCTGATTTTCAAGACCCCACCTCTGGCCGATGTGTATAAGGGGTGCTCTGGGGGCAGCCCGCTGACATGTTTGGGTCCATCCCTTGACAAGCCTTGCTCTGGGTCACCCGCTGGGTAGGTGCTTCAAATGCAAGAACACACTGACGACTGACACCTAACCTCTGAAATGGTCCTGTTACTACACCCACTTTACAGATAAGGACCAGAGAAGGCAAGAGACTTGCACAGGGCCACACAGCATATTATCACTGAGCTGGGATTTGAACCCAGAATCGACACTTTTAGCCCACCATACTCTCTCCTTCTTCTTCCCAGTCACACCTCCCCTTGCCCACTCTATCTCCCTCCCGCTTACCTCCCTAACCCCTCATTCAGCATCCATCTCATCCCTGCTTTAATTTCATCCTCTCGCCTCTCCTCCCACTTCCCTGGCTACCTTCTCTCTTGTTCCACATTACTCAGTGGCACACTCACTCCCCAGATCTTCGCTGGGTGGCCTCTTCTCTCCTCCAGATCTCCCTCAAATGTCACCTCCTCAGAGATGCCCTCCCTGACTGCAGTCACTTTCTAACCTGTCCCTCCGTTTTATCTCCCCTGTAGCCCTGGTGGCTCTCTGGAGTTATCTTGTGTGTGTGTTACAAGATTGTCTATCTCTCCCGCTCTAGAATGAGAACTCTGGGGGAGCATGGTCCTGCCCTCTCTTGTTCACCACGGTGTCCCCAGCACCTAGAACAGGGCCTGGCACATGTGGGTGCTCAGTAAATCTTTGCTGGATGAATGAATGAGACTGAATTAAACAATTCATTAGACTACTAGTTCTGTTTCTGAACTTCCCATGAGGGCCAACACATGTCTGTCTGTACCACCTTCGTCCCTGGAGCCTGGCTCACAGAGGGTGATCGTGGGTCATGAGTGCACGTCCCCCTGGCCTCCAGGCTCCTGAGAGCCCTTCTTTGACTTCCAGGCACGAGTTGGGCATTCAGACTGGTCTGGAGTGACATCGCTCTGACTTGGTCTGGGCCTGCCTTTTGGGGCTGCTCCAAGTAGATGTGTCTGGTGGGCCCAGTCCCCAGGCCAGCTAGGAGTGAGCAGATGGATGCAGATGTCCCAGTTCTACCTGGGGGACCTTGGCTAGGGGATCCCTCCCCAACTCATCCTCTCCTTGAGGGTGCATTTCACGTCCATTCCAGAAGGCACTTACTTATTCCCCACGCTTACTTGACATGACTGCGGTATGATCTCGTTACATACCTGCCTGCTCCGTCTTACTTTGCAACATGTGTGTCTCTTACCCATCTGTCAGTCCAGGGTGGGTCTGCTTGGTAGACCACGAAGCCAAAAGGCCAGAGCTAGAGGGATATGTCCCCCCGTGGTCATGCTGTGTCATGTCATAAATACTTTATGATGACGAGAAGGAGGATGCTGGCTGAGAGATGGACCCAGACTACAACCAGGGCCTCTGTTCTGGGGGGCAGAGCTCTTTCTTACATAGCTGAGCCCGGGCATTAAATTAATAATAGCAGGCAACACTAACAGAAGGTCAGCATGTACAAGGCACCATTCCAACTAAGCACTCTCTCTATATTGACTTACTTAATCCGACGAGGTAGGGATTGTTATCATTCCCATTTTACAGATGAGGGAAATGAGAGATGGAAGGTAAATGACCTGCCCAAGGTCATACAGCTAGTAAGTGGCACATACTGACCACTTCAAACAGAGGCGTTGGTTCTGGATCTACAGGCGTAACCATCATACTATATATTAAGGCACAAAAACATTGCCTCATATCTGCTTTTGGCTGTCACAGCCCCCTTGATCTCTCTGTTACTCATACCTCCTTCTGTTGAATTAAGTGATTCTCCAGATCTTGAACTTTTCTTTTTTCTGTCTCTATGGCTTCCTTTGCTTTTCTTTTCTCATGGGCTATGTTGCTCTCCAAAACCTGAAAGTCAATGACCAATCCTTTCGGTTGCCGGCACATTTAGGGGGGAAGCTGCAAACAATGCTGATGATGATAATAACAGCTAAAGTGTCAGGAGCGGTTATTATGTGCCAGGCCATGGCCAGCACTTCACACACAGTATGACATCAATTCTCACAGCAACCCTGTTGGGGAGGTGCTATGAGTGGCCCCATTTTGCAGATGAGGAAATCAAGGAACAGAAAGTTTTTTTTTTTTAAACTACTTGTCATGGCAAAATACATAGTATTTCAGCCATATTATGGAGTCCCTGGGTGGTACAAACAATTAGCGCACTCAGCTGCTAAATGAAAGGTTGGTAATTCGAGTCCACAGATATACGAAGCTCTGTGGAGATCTGAAGATCCGAAGTAAGAGCCCACATGTAAATATCTTCCCACTCTGGCTCAGATCAAATTACACAGGCTTTGCCAGAGGTCTCCGACCCAGAGGTGCGTCGGAATCAAGGCCTGGTGATCTGCTTCTGAAAAATCAGTCATTGAAAACGCTATGGAGCACAGTTCTACTCTGACACACAGAGGGTGAAAGAAAGAAAACTAGTGAGTGGCACAAGGTCATGCTGTTTGTTAGCAGTGAGGCCAGGACTGGATCCCTGCACAGAGGAAAGCCCATTGACTGCATACAGAGGCCTTGGTAAGCAACCAGCGAGCAGAGACAGCCAGCCCTGTCTTGTTACCCGCTGTGCCAGGCAGCCTCTCTGATAAAAAGGAGTATCTCATTAATAACGGAATTTCACATTACTGACATAAATCTCTTTAAATGAATCAGGTTTCAAAAGAGGACAGTGCGCTGAATTAATATAGCACTTTCTAGAAGAGGGAAGCAAATCTTCGTAAGTGATGACCTGGTACAGTTTAGGGAAGAAAGTGGAGTTAGTATTTGGTGACCATAATCAAGGAATTTTATCTGGGAAGTCACTTGCTGATAACCTACTCAGCTAAATGGCTTAACGCAAATGACCAAAGGGTATGAACTGTGGGCAAGACCCCTGTTCCTAGTCACTGCAAGAAAGGGCATCTCAACTTTCCAATGAGTTGTGTTTTAAACACTGGGTATCTCAACTTTCCAATGAGTTGTGTTTTAAACACTGGGTTGACTGTCAGATATTTGAGACGTGGAGCATGGTTTCCATTATAACCAGTGGTCAGGGTTTCAGATTAGCTCACAGAAAGTATTTAGTCCATAAAACCAAAAAAAAAAAAAAAAAAAAACAAACCAGTTGCCATTGAGTTGATGCTGACTCATGGCGACCCCATGTGTGTCAGAGTAGAACTGTGTTCCATAGGATTTTCAATGGTTGATTCTTCAGAAGTAGATCACCAGGTCTTTCTTCCGAGATGCCTCTAAGGTGGGCTTGAACCTCCAACCTTTCAGTTAGCAGTCAGGCACATTAACCATTTGCACCACCCAGGCTCTCCATAATATGGCTGAAATATTATATATTTTGTAGTGAAAGTAGTTAAAAAACCCCACAACACCCTGCTGTTCCAATGCCAGCCCTAAACAAAGCAGAAAAGCCGTGACATCTGGAGGGTTTAATATTAATTTCAAATGTTTGAGGCAGGTTTCAGGTAAGACATTTTCCTGTAAATTGTGAAAGAGACTTCCGGGCCCTTTCCAGGACTTAGAGTTGGCTCCTCTGCATCTGATCTCCTGTCTAAACTAGACTTCCCTCAGCAGCTCCCCTGAAGCTCAGACACAGAAGCGCTACCAGGAAGAGTCTATCTTTGCAAACCTCATGGATCCTATCATCCCCAAAGGCTTTTCTCCAAAGTGCATAGGCAGGTAGTGGGAATTAACCTTTAGCATTCTCTCAAAGCCTGAATTATGACCCAGTGATTCTGTGGTGCTTAGATTCGTCTGATAATACAGTGGAAGGTCTAATAAAGAGAGATCAAATAACCGCTTGATGTTGAACGAAGTTTGTGGCTGGGACGACTGTCTCCAGTTCCCCAACGGGAAACCACAGGGAGGTCTGCCTAAGGACAAGGGGGCTGACACTTTAATAGACCTGGGGTGACCCAGCCACAGGTCCCCTCTGCAATCAGGCTGAGCCCCCACCACACTGCCCTTAAATCTCTCTGCTGAAGTCCCCCATGACCTTGGAATCTCTAAATTCAAGGATCTTTTCATCCCCATGCTGTTGACCTCTCAGTGGCATCTGGCTCCAGTGACTCCTTGGAAGACCCTCCTCCTCATCTCCATCTCTGGAGAGGTAACTCGGGGCAAACCTCAGTGACAGTGTTTACAGAGAGCTGTGGAGCACAGATATATGATGCTTCATGGGGACCTGGAGACCTGAAATAAGAGCCCACACGTAAACATCTTCCCACTCCGGATCAGATCAAATTGCACAGGCTTTGCCAGAGGTCGCCTTATTTCGCCCTCAGTGATGGATGAGCAAGACTTTTACTCTGAGGAGTGAGGATGGAATAGGGCTTGATAGAAAACAAAGTGCCTAAACCGAAGTGGAAGTAGTAGTGATAGTAATAATAAAGCCCAAACCAAATGAAACCCGTTGCTGTCGAGTCGATTCCGACTCATAGCGATCCTATAGGACAGAGTAGAACTGCCCCATAAGGTTTCCAAGGAGCGGCTGGTGGATTCAAACTACCAACCTTTTGGTTAGCAGTCGAGCTCTTAACCACTTTGCCATCGGGGCTCCGATGATAATGATAGCTACCATTTATTGTGGACTCAAATATACCAACGATCATGAAGATGGCACAGGACCAGGCAATGTTTCGTTCTGTTATACAGAAGGTCGCCATGAGTCGGAGCCAACTTGCAGCAACTAACAATAGCCATTTATTGAGCAATAATTCTGAGTCAAACACTTCCTTATACCTCATCTCTGTTCCTCACAGCCACCCTTTTATCTAGGCAGGTGTTGCTAGACCCGCTGCAGCCTGTAAGTGGTCCAGACAAGATTTGAACCTGTGTTTCATCTGGCTGTGCTTTTCACTCCTTTGTGCTGCACCAGGATTGAGGGATTAAACAAATCCTCCATGAAATCATCTGAAACTGATCACAAGCTAAACATAGTCAACAATGTAATGGAGAGTTCCTGAAAGCTAGTACGGTCGCATCAACAGAAGAACAACGTCTTTAACGAAGGAGGGGAGAGTCCTGTCCTATGCTGCCATGGCTGGGGAACTGCATTCTGTTCTGGCTGCCACACTTTAGGAACAAAACGGGCAATGGGTTGCAAACTCAAATGCCTACAGGGGCCGGACAGATACCAAAAATGAAGACGGCTGCATATAACACAACAGGGAATGGTGAGGGCTGTGGCAAACTGCTGCTACTTGGTTCAGCTCCAGCCCATTTTTACCAAGTGGAAATGAAGACCAGATTTTCTACCTTTTCAAGAGATGTTGACCATCTGGATTTTTAAATAAACTTTGTGGATTTAAAATAAAATACTCTGGGGCCAAACAGAACACGTCTATAGGCCCATTTCAGCCAGGGGGCTCCCAATCTGTGAGAACAGAGCAGGTCAGAGCAGGGGATCAAGCCCAGGCTCGTCTTGGGAAGCACATAAGGAGAAACAAGGGGTATCTGGGCCTAGAGAGGAGCAGGAGCCTCTCTCTTCAATTATCTAATAGGCTATTACACGAAGGCAAAGTAGATACATCTTGCAGGATCCCAGGAGGCTGGTAGAGGACTGATACCTTTCTAGGGAGAAAGGTATTAACCTGAGAGAAGATCTTCCTGCCAACCCAAGGCATCCACACTGAAATGGACTGCTCTGGGCTGTAGAAAATTTCTTGCTGATAGAACCAAAGGTTGCATAATTTTAGAATGTTGTTGGAGAAATCGTGCCTCCCTGAAGTCCCATAATTTGGTAATTTCTCCTTTTCTGTGCTTTGGAGCACACCCTCCATGCCACCAGTCCAACTTGTCTCCCAAACCTTGTGACTGCATTTTATACTGTTGACAAATTTATTTTTCCCAACTGGTTGTCAAGGCTACAACTCCAGAATCCTCTCCTTGAGCCTCTCTGCTTTCCAAAGCAGCTGAGCCCACTCAAGGACAAATTAGCAAAGCACCATGCTCTACCCTCATCACCTGTGGTTCTAAACTTACTTCCATAGGGACCCCAAGCCAGATATGGGCTCGAGCCGACTCTGTCTCCCTGAGCTGCATACCTCCTTCTGGTGGGTTAAGCGATTCTCCAGCTCTTGGACTCTCTTCTGTTCTTCCTCTAATGCTTCTTTTGCTCTGGTTTTCTCATGAACAATGCTTTGCTCCAAAATCTGAAAGGCAATGACTGTTGTTTAATAGACATAGTCACCGTGGCAGGAGTTTAGAATCTCTACCAGGCCCTACATGGATTAGCTCTTCACTCCTCACAACTGCCCCACTGCAGGGGCTGTGGGCAGCATAGCCTAGGAGATAAAGCATGGGGGCTGAAGTCTGACACTGGGCAAATGAGAAGTTATAGAAGCCTCAGTTTCTCTATCTGTACAATGGAGACAATAACAGTACTTCCTGCATTGGGTTATTGTGAGGAGTATATATGATGATGAATGTAAAATGCCTGGTTATAAATGATAACCATTTATTAATAAAGATTAGCTATTTCTTTTGTCATTCTCACTTTGCAGAAGAGGAAATAGGCTTAGAGAGATTAAGAAATCTGCCCAATTTACTAGTATGTCACCTGAGTAGGGATTCAAACCCTGGTCCATTTCGCTCCACAGCCTGTGCTCTAAACCAGGGGTTGTCAAACTATGGCCTATGGGCCAAATACAGCCCACTGTCTGTTTTTGTAAATAAAGTTTTATTGGAACACATCCATGCTCACTGTTTATGTATTGTCTATGGCTGCTTTTGTGCTACAACAGCAGAGTCAAGTAGTTGTAACAGAGACTGTCCAGCCCACAAAGCTGAAAATATTTACTATCTGGCTCTTTATGGAAAAAGTTTGCTCACTAAACCATTAGTGTGTACACAAACCAGGTGTTCTTAACACTTTAGAACAGAAAAAAAATGTTGGGGGGGCGGGGCCAAGATGGCAGAGTAGTCAGACACTTCCAGTGGACCCTCTTACAACAAAGACCTGAAAAAACAAGTGATTCGATTATATATGGAAATCTGGGAGCCCTGAACATCAAAGGCAGAGCTGAGGAACTGGACTGAGTGGCAGCGGGAGGGAGAGACGGTTCAGAAGCAGCAAGGAGTTGCCAGACCTGACCCAGTGACAGCCTGAGCCCTTCAGGCCTGAGCAGCTCGTGGGTGAGCGGTGAGGCAGACAAGCAGTGGTGCTCGGGAGGCACATTTTCTGCATAGAGAGCCGGCACCAGAGAGTCTACACAGCCACCGAGAACCAGTGAGAAGCAGCCCTCATAGGTGAAAGATAAGTACTTGTGTAAGGCTTACCATGCGGATCGAACCTCCCCCACCTTAGGGAAAAACCTCTCTTCCATTTACCTCCCCGCTCCCTGCTCTGCACTGGGTCCTGGACTGGCTTCAGCAATTGCCGAGTCCCCTGGGCCAGAAGTAGGATCCATCACACACCCTGAGCCATTGTCCCAGCCTTGGAGAGTGAACAAATTAACAAACAGGGGAAAAAATAAACTGCCAGCTCACCTAAGCCAGGAATCCAGGGTAGGCACAGCTCTTTTGCCTAGGCACAGGCATAAGGGATCCACGGTCTTTGAGTGCCTTTCCCCCTGCATAGACTTGTGCGGGCCCATCTCAACAGCGTAGGCTCTCATTACCGCAGTACAACAGGGTATATACCAGAACTCTAACTTCAACTCTTTCAGCTATAAAGTGGCAGGTTCTTGGCATTTGACACTGCTCTGCCCATTAAGCCCACATCAGGGGCCTGAGGACTGGTGGCTCCACCCATGCCAGCTAGCCACCTATGATAGGGGCCCATGAATAAGAGGTGCCCCCCAGTCCTTACAACCAACAGCATTAGGTGTTCATAGTCTGGCTGTGAAACCCACCCACCTACATGCACTAGGGAACAGGGGCATGCCTTCCTCCTGGACATTTTGGGGTTGCCATCAGCCCACTGCCTTGCTCAGAGTGTGTCCCCCTGCTACAGCCAGATGCCTGTGCCTACACCAATCACTCATGCCTTTCTAGAACTGTAAGTGAGAGCCTACACCACACACTTGGTGGCTATCTACCTGGGCAACTGAGCTGAATCCATACAGGAGGAGCGGGTGGACTCCCAAGCTCACATACCTAGTAACAGATCTAACCACCTAGTGACAGGACATTAGAGCTTCAAAGGTGCCAATAATCAAACTAGCTCATATGAACAGCCTATCTGGGCATATCAAAACAAAACAAGAAGCTAGGACACAGTAAGCAAACATAAAATAATTCAATATAATAACTTATTGATGGCTCGGACACAATAGTCAATATCAAATCACATAAAAAGGTAATCCATGATGGCTTCAGCAAGCTCCCAAAATAAAGAATCTAGAGATTTTCCAGAGGAGGAAAATTTCTTGGAATTACCGGAGGCAGAATACAAAAGATTAATATACAGAACTCTTCACAAAATTAGGAAGGAAATTAAGTAAAATGCAGAACACACAATAGAGGAAATTAAAAAGATTAGAGAAGAGCATAATGACAAATCTGACAGGCTGCAAGAATCCATAGAGAGACAGCAATCAGAAATCCA